CAGGTACAAATTAGAATGTTCGGCGTGGAGTTTACTGGCCCATACTTTAGCTCGACAGGTACCAGAATAACAATGAACTGTTAAGAAACTATTAACATTATATTATGTGTTTCATCATGCAGCCCATGAACGCTCCATAAAAGATTTTCTCAGTGGTTACGAGAATTGGCTTCAATTGTATAGTGATGCTCAAGATGTTCACTTGAGGTCCTTTCTCCAACCTGTGTTTGGTCCTGTCTAATGCTACAGTTAAAACAACCTTCCTAATCCAAGCCACTGCTGCAGGTTGGAAGTCTCAGTCCCATTGCAGTCCTGGCCAGCACTGTCCTGGGTGGGACTGGAACTGAGCAGTTGCAATTTGCTGAAATTCTTTGATCTGAGGTTTTACTGCTTAAAATAATTTTCCTATTTTTCTGTGAAATGAAACAATCCTAGCATTTGAAAAAAGATATTTTTCAGTATGAAAACCCAGAAGCCCTTAAGTATTGTGTTTCCCCTTTCTTGACTCTGGCCATTGACATGGTAAAATCAAAATGGATAAGGGCTCTCTCAGTGCTGGTGTTCTAGTTTCATGTATCCTCTCTGGCCAAAATCCACAGGGTTTGGTGCAAAGCTGCAGCGATAGTCCAACGATTTCATTCCAGAGGGGTGAACAAGCAGACCTTACAACACATACTGAGATTGTGATTCTTCAGTTGTCATTTTTTCCTTGCTGATTTTCGTTCGGCAATGGTTGTACAAAGATCAAAATCCCCTTGTGTTACATTCTTGCATATGCTTACGGTCCCTGAGTTGCTTGCCATCTCAGTAAACAAAATTATTACTCCGTGGGAAAAATGCTCTTATTTTTATTTTATTTTTATTGTTATTCATTTAAAACAATGGAAAATCAGGCACAAAAATGTCTTTTTCCAGTGACTGCACAGAGAGATTTTGTCAGGGCCAGGAACCGAGTCCAGGTGTCCCGAGTCCCAGCCCAGACCTTTAAACACCAAAATATCCTGCTCCTTGTGAATTCAAAGTGTTTTGGCAAAAGTTTCCCCAGAGCGTTTCGTAATTAATGGCAGTGCTAAACTCTGAATGTGTCTTACCAGTCAGGAATTTGCTTTTATATACACGTATCCGCTTAAAAACTCCCCAAATTTAGCAGCTGTTGGCTTCTTTGTGTTACTTGAATGTCTCTAAGGCAAATACGGGACAAGATAAATTGAAAAGTGTTGAGTTGAAATGTTCTGCTTTGAGTCCACTTAGCAAACTCCAAAGGTCATCTCTGCTGTGAAGAGCCAGCAGGACTAGACACAGTACGAGCCTTGTTTTGAGGGTGGGAAGGGGATTTTCTGTTGTGCCTAGAAACCACTCTTCCTATCTGAGAGAGGTGGAAGAACTAAGTCCGTCCTAGGGTCTGCGGCAGTTTTTGACAGCTTTCTGCAAAGGAGCTAGGATCAAAGGAAAAAAGAACGTCCCACAACAGGCTGCTGCAGCTTGTGTCTCGGGGGAACAGTTCCCTTGCTGAGATTCATTTGGACCCTTTTAAGTCTGCACAGACAGGATGCTGTTTGTGAATAGAAACCTGTGGTGTGTCATGGAAGAGTGTAATTCTCCCAAGCAACTCAAACACTGGCTTAATCGCAGTCCTCTGCATCAGGTCAGCAGCTCTTGTGTCTCCTGCAAACTTTTTGCCCTGTCTCAGTCTCTGTAATTACTGGCTGCAGTGGCAGTCCCACCTACACTCAGCATAACCTGAAAATTCCCATTGTGAGATGCTCTTGTCAGTCCTTTATCCTGAATCAGATTCTGTCCAGCTGCAATGAGCTTTTCCAGGATGGGATTTTCTTGAGATGAGTTTTTTTTTCAGGATAGGATGCGTGTTTCTGAATAGGTTTGTCTGGTAAAAAAAAAATAAAATCTAAGGTGAAGGGGTCTGGGCTTTTTTTGTACTGTCCTGGATAAACATTTCTTACAGTCATTTTTTTTGCCTGCTGGGAAGCCAGGGGGTTATTCTGGAGAGTGATGTCCTTAGGAAAACTCAAAGCAAAGGACTGGAATAGATCTTGTTTTTGCAGTAAAAGCTGGCTTCCCTGCATATGTTGTCAGCACAGAGCTAATCCTGAAAAAAGTCTGAAATTTATACAAGGCAAATTTTTTGCATTTCTGTGGGCACAGCAGCACAGCAGTGCTTTGGTGTTCAAAGGGCAGATCTGGGGACTGGGCTGAGATGCCATCTGACTGGAGCTTTCATCTTCCTTGCGGAGGTATTCACGTGTGCTCCTTCAGCCAGCTCTGCCTCGGCCTTTCTGGGAGCCACACAACCAATTTTGGCTGTGCTGGAGCAGCAGAGGGGTTTGGGAGAGTGCCCACCTGGTGTGGGTCTGGCCCCATGGCGATGGCTGGGCTTTTCCTCCCAAAGTTCTTCATCTGTCTGGTCATCTGCTTTCAAAGCTTCTTCATGCCCCACTAAGCAACGTGAGAGTGTGTTCAGAGTGCTCATCTGTTATAAAAGTGCCAATTTCACAGATTCCCTGGTAGATTTGGGTGTTTGTTCCCATTCAGAGTCTCCCTATCAGAATTGCTCAGGCATCTGTGACAAGCTCAGTCTGTGATTTCCAACAGCCCTGATGTCTCCAGTTGCCACCAGTTTGACTCACGGTAGCCCCCTTGTTTGCTCTGCAGACTGTGTTTGCATTCATCCTTGTCAAAACAGCCCAGTTCAAAGTGCTGGGTGCTTCTCGGGGGGAGAAGCTCGGTGTGTGTCCTGCTGTACTGCACGTCTTCCCCTCTTCCCTCCTCTTTAACCTGGGCTCCCAATCACTGTCATCTATCCCCTTTTTTTAATGCAAAAATTGTTTTCAGAAGCTTTCTGCACTTTCTAATTTCACCTTGCTTTGAGGAAAAGCCAAAGGAAATTTGTTGCAATATTTTTTTTTTTTAATATTTGCCACTTGGAAATTGTGTTTGAGAGTGGAAATTCAAAGGGCATTGACTGCTTCCTTCACAGCCAAAACACGCTCCCTTCACACCACCCTTAGACAAGGCTACTCACAAAAATAAGGCATGTCTTCACCCTGTATTTACGAGAGTCCTGCCAAGCTTTACAATGTAGTAGGAAAGGAGGCATAATTCTGCTAATGGAACAACTCAGGTATTTTATTAATGCTGCCAGACAGCTCCGCTTTCCAAATAGAGGCAGATTTGCTGAGTAATTTGCCATGGGCTCAGTGCTTCCAGGGTGACTATCCTTGTCCAGCAAAATTGAACCTGTTACTCTTGCTCAGAGCAGCGTTCAGCATAAAAAAGGACTTCTTGCCATGCTCTTGCTGCAACCAAGTGTCCTGAGCAAATCCTTTACATTTTTTCCCTTAGTATTTCACCACAAAGTTTTCACAAGCCTTGCATGCAAAATTGCTGTAGGATATACACATGCAGGGACATCCCTCATGGAGAAGGCTCCATGGTTTCACCCAGTTTGACAGGATTTCATGTATTATCAGATATTTAGTTTTCAAGAAGGTTGCAAATTCTTCTGCGGAGGTAGCAAGCAATCTGCTGACGAGGTGGCTGGTCAGACAGTTGACAGTTCAGACACATCTCTGAAGATAATCATATGTCAGAGATTAAACTAGTGCCTGGTCATGAGTATTTGTACGCCTCTCTGAGCCCCTGAGAAATATAGGGTGCTAGGCAGTTTATGGGGCCTCACTGGAAGAGGTTTTGGGTTTTTCTCATGGCTTAGCTGAAAGGCAAGATATAATTGATGCTCATTAAGTGCATTCAAGTATTAATCCAGTGTAAAGGAGGCCGAAGGAAGCTACTGTTCTCTCACGGGTATGAGCAGGGTCTCGAGTGCAGCCGTGGTCTCACCACAGCTCACGCGGCCGCTCTGCCCTGCTTCAGGCGCAGGATAACAAGATGTAGAGCTCATGCTTCTCTGCAGGTCACTTTTCCAGTTTTCATCGTTTTTCAGGTTGGGTTGTCCGTTGGCTACGTGTGCGAATTTGAGCAGGTGAGCTGCTGTACCGTGATGTAGCACAGACATTATCTGAGCTTGCTGGCTCCAGTACCTCAGGAGGAACCCAGCAGCAGTGGCACAGGGTTCCATGTGGGTTTCACTTTCAAGGAGAACACCTGAACACAAACCTGCCGGAGCTAGGATTAGCCTTGTCCTGGCTAACAAACTTGACTGAGCCTGCTCAGACTGCAGACATATCCAAGGGGCCTGATTCTTTACCTTGCTGGTACTCAGTGGTGCTGGCTTGCTTTCAGGAGCAAGTGCATTAGCCATGGAAGTGGGCTCTCTCCTTCTAGGTCATGCAGATGTTTCACCTGAACATCTGTCCCACTCCCTGAGCTCCTGGCAGCTGCCGTGGTTGTGCTTAGCGCTAGCATTTCTGTTTGTTTGCAAGGTTTCCTCCAGGGTGAAGCGTATGTCTGGTCTCAGTTCTGAATCTATAAATCCAAGGTAACTTGATAAACTCCTCTTTATATCTCTGCCATTATCAGAGTCTGATCTTTTGCAGTTGTATGCAGCAGAGCTTAATAAGTGGTCCTAAGTGCCCATTTAAAAGCAGAAGCCCTTAGCCTGGACAGCTCAGCCTCCAAGGCTTATAGAGAGAGGTCTCAGCAGCTGCTTTCCCCTCCTCTCTCCATCTCATCCAATGAGATCATCTCTCCATCTAGAACTCTGCAGAGGGTTTAATCAGCTGAGTTCAGAGGATGTGCAGCTGGAAAATAGGCTAAACCCCATCACCAATAGACCACGCTGCAGACAGATAAGTGACCTGTCTGGCTTTCAGGAACTCCAGCTCTTCTGATTTCCCTTGCAGTGCGCTTTCCTCTCGTTTCAGCTATTTTCTTTAGCTTTTGTGTTCAGATTATCCCATCATTGTCTAGTGCAGTGGTGTCAAAAGGTTGTCAGAGGTATAGGTGTCAGAGTGTGCAACGTAAACTGCTGTGTTCATTGCCCTACATCACCCTCTCATTTGATCTTTCTTATCTTGTTACAGCTGAACAAGCTGGAGGAGGCAGCAAATGCAGCTCACACCTTCTTCATGGCAAACCCCGAGCACATGGAGATACAGCAGGACATTGAGAACTACAAGACCACAGCAGGAAAGGTCAGCTTGATTGACTGGGAGGCCAGGCAGCACATGGTGAGTCTGAGCTAAAGAGGTGCCTGGGTTAAGTGTTAAGCAGTCTGGAGAGAAGAGATTTATAAGGCCAAGAAAGCATCATCTATGAATGGGGAGATTCTTGCCAAGGTCTGTATTACAATACAGGAGAACAAACTCTCCCTTTCAGCTCTTTACTGTAAGGCAAGCCAGCTCCTGCTTTTTCAAGGCACTCTCTGCTCTGTGTTTGATGGCTGTGTCCCCAAGTGGTCCCTCTGTTCAGGAAACTCTGGAGTCATCCATGGCTGTGAACAGGCATTAGCAGGCAGCTTTGATAGATGCCTCCATGGGCACTGATGGATGGATCTTGGCCTATGTGTGTTGCTTTTGAGCTGGATTTTCCCACCTGGGCAGGGTACCTGCACATGAATGGCTGTGCTGGTGAGGGTGCAGGGTGGCAGGCAGGAGAGTGACAGCTTTTTCCACCTTCTCCGAGTGAAAGCCCAACACAAATCCCAGTGCCGCCCCCAAGTCTGATTTCATGAGACACATGGAAGCAGGAGTGGCTGTTTGGTGTAATTAATGGAGATGCTCATCAGGGGCCATTCTAAGACAGTTCTGCCTGGGTCAAGAGCAGTCTTTTCCCTTGGCATTCAGCGTAGTTGATGAGTAGGAGGGTAGAAACAAGGAAAATTAATGTTTTTTCACATAATGCGTAATCCAGTGGTGGCACTGAGGAGTCCCTAAGTACGGAGGAGTTCAGAAGAGCATTTAAGCAGGTTTACAAGGTTCCACTGGTCCAAAAGTCCACGGATGGCTTAAACTTGTCTTGGTACAACCACTTATGTTTGGTAGGTACTAAAAGAGATCGTTCTGTCCCTGCCCACTTGTGCCTTCTTTTGAGAAGTACCTACAGTTGGCAAGGGCAGGATCTTGTGGTCCGAGCAGCGTAGCCCACTCATGGTCTTGTCTTCTGCCTACCTACTTTGCAGGAGGACTACAGTGCCGGAGTAAGGCACTATGACAAGGAGAAGTACGAGCTGGCCATTGACTTCTTGGAGCGTGCATTGAAAGGCTACTATTCTGAGGATGAAGACTGCCAGATCATGTGTGAGGGACCACAGAGATTTGAGGAGCACGAGTACCTGGAATATAAGGCTGGTCTCTACGAAGCTATTGCAGGTGAGATCTTCTTGCGCCTTTAGGGTTCTGAACCTTGGTCCTGCACTGTTTTTAATTACTGAGTTTAGGCCTGGATTTGGTGAAGTGACTTCCCTTCCGTCACTGCTGCTGGTGAGTAATGCTGCAGGAGGCACTTGGAAGGCCAGAAAACGCAAATTCAGAGGGTTAAGAATGAGAATATCGTATTTTGGTCCTAAATAGAAGCTGCGTTAGAAAAATTGTATTTCCAGATGTGTGGAGCATTTGCAGCTTTCCATAAGAGCTGGAAGTATAGATGTTTTAAAATAAACTGCCTCCGTTTCTCGCTGTACATGGTCTCAGATACCTCACTGGGATCTAGACATTGCTGGCCTCTTTTTATATTTTCACCGTTTTTTTCAGTGCATATGAAGAGAGCAGCAGAGTCGTCTTGGCCACACTCCAGATGACCAGGAAGGTTGCCAAAAAGGCTTAGAACATAGATTTCCTCCCCATCCAAAAGAATGGATTTGTCATTAGTGGAGGCTCATCTAATTATCATCTTGACTGAAATCTCTGGAGAGAATTGAACATTGCGGTATAGTCTTCAGATCTGCATGTGTGGCTCTGAGCCAGAGGGAATTAAAACGGTTCATTCTGAGTAGAAATGAGACTACATTTAATTAGACTTGAGGGGAAAAAGAGCAATAAATTAAGGTTCATTTGGTGACAGAAATCTTATTTATCTGCTCATGGTGGTGGAGTTGCATCAAGCTCTGGAGTTTTGCTTCTTGTGTGGAAAATACTTCACTCAGATGCAAATTGTTTTTTTTTGTTTTGCATAATTCTGTTTGTGTCGAGACAGGAAATCTAATTGAAACAACCAAGATGAGAAACCACCAGCATACTGGATGGGAAGCTGCCTTTGTTAGGTTTATTCCCCATACAAAAAACATGAGAAGTGTTGTTAAGTGCTGGCTTTGTATCAGTGTAATTGTCTGCTGATCACGCCTGCTTTTGAAGCTATGAGTAGGACACTAGGGGCTGTATCAAACTCTCCAAGAGAGCAGCCTTCAGTGGCAAGGAAAACTCGTCTTCCTTCTCACTGAAAGCTGCTGCTCATCAAACAGGTTTTGGTCTGGGGGTGAGAACAAGCCAGATCATCTCTGCAAGTGCTGTGACCTGGTTTGGCCAAATATGCTTGGGAATAACAACTCCAAACACCAGGGCTGTTCAGACACCCAAAGAAGCACAGAGGGAAATAAGATACATAATGCGTTTGCTTTGCTGTAGGGAGCTAAGTGGTTCCTTACAGGACAGCATAATCCAGAGTCTACCCCTGGGTCAAGGGCACTGGGCCCCAGATGCTTCAGCAGGGAGTGGGAGCACTAACCCACCAAGAAAAGAGTTTAAGTTTCTGTAAAACTCCTTTCTCTTTTCAATCTCAAGCTGATTTGCTGTGCTGCCACATGGAGTTGAAACAGTCTCACCTCTCCATCACAGGGACGAATGCATTTCAGTGAACTGATTCCAGTGTATATAACCTGTCTGTAGAGAACCTTGACAGTACTAAGATAAAGCACTGCTCCTCCGTGACGGATTATTCCGGGGCGAGGATGCTGAAATACGTTTAAATTACAACATTACTTATGTCCTTTACCTTCTTATTTTCCATAATGTAATATCCTGGATGTGTAGGGTAAATCAGGTAACTACTCAGACTACCTGCACAGAGCAAATGGGAGCTGTTTTGAGTTTCCGCTCCATTTCATTGCAAATTCCTCAGGCTGTTTTTTTGGCAACTCTGAGAAATGCTTTGGTAGCTGAGCACATGTTTTTTTTCAAGCCTGTGTTTGTTTCTCAAGATTTTTAATGGTAAACAGAGACAGAGCAAGCAAAGTACATTTGTAGAGTACACTGCAGCAAAGGCTTCAAACCGAAATCAGATGTCAGCGTTGGCTTCAAAATTGTACAGCTGATACAATGCCTGTATTGCGGACTCCCAGCAATTAAGAAACCTTGCTAATGGCAGATGTTTTACACGTGCTTGTGTTTCCCTGGGAGTTATCTCATCTTCAAGAAGCAGCAAGCTCAGGGATTTTGCTGCCAATATTTGCACCTTAGACCTTTCAGACTGATGGTGCATGTGTCTTGCTCAGTTGGGCTTGAGAAGCTGCACCAGCCCCTCTTACCTAAACCTTCCCATGCCATTGGGACCTTTCTAGCTGCAGAAAGGAAAGGATTAAAGATGGGCTGAAGGAAGGGAGTGTGAAGATGGCTTTCATGTGGCAACACACGTGGCCACCCTGTCTTCACATCTCTGCTTTATGGGTGTCCTCGCCTTTGGTTTGGCTCTTGGGGTTGAGGAGCTACCTGCCACCTGCAGTCCCTGCACCCGTCTGGCTCCCTGGGCAGAAGCAGCAGCTCCCGGCACGCAAAAGAAATGCTCAAGCTCCCTCTACAGTTGACAGAAGGAGAAAAGCATTTCTCAAGGGGTGAAAAATGTGTCTGCAACTCTCCATTGGCTTTGGGAAGGAGCCTGAGCTCTTTCTGTGGGGGCACATTTGTCTGCTGGACCAGAGCAGCTTGAGTTGCATGTCCATCAGCTGGGGAGATTTAACCTCTCTCTGTCCGTGTCTCAGCACCACCACTGTCCTTCTCAAGTCTGGACCTTCTTCTCTTTTCTTGACAGATCACTACATGCAAGTCCTGGCCTGCAAACATGACTGTGTCCGAGAACTCGCCACGCGTTCGGGCCGCATCTCGCCCATCGAAAATTTCCTTCCCCTCCATTATGACTACTTGCAGTTTGCCTATTACAGAGGTAAATGCTGTATTTCTGTTCCTTGTATGTTTTTGTACAAGTTTGAATGGTTTCACGTGAAAAATTCCCCATGATGCCTGTGCTACAGCGATAGAGTGGCACGGCCTGAAGCAGTCAGGAAACAAAGAGCACTGGAAATTTTCTCTTTAAAAGTCAGGCTGGCTGAAATGCAGTTAAGTACTTTTTTAGAAGTGTGTTAAATCATCAGTCAGGTTTTAAAAACCCAACCCTTAGCATAAACATTACTGTTCTTTAAATGAATCATGCTTTTTTAGGGTCCTTTCATTTGCATTTTGATTTTAAAGTTCTGGGGATTTAGATGCTTCACATTTTTCTGAAACCAATTGATACATTTTCTGAGTTAATATACAACAGGTATACAAGTTAGTCCAAGCTTATCCCAAGATGCCAGTTTTTGTTAATTACCGAATATTTTAAGATTCACAGTAAAATTGCGGGAGTTGGCAACACTGCAAAATATTAGGAGTTGGCAGTGCTGTAAAATACTGCTGATTGTGTGGTCTTGTATGGTATTTGATTATATTCTCTTACATAAAAGAGAATCTAGGCAGAATTCTGCAATCTCAGGCTTGTGTTAAGAGCTCTTTTCTGAAAAGGGCAGAGTGTGTGAGGGTCAGAATTGCTACTCAGGCCTAAAGCTTCATCATTAATCAATGCAATGGGAAGAAAGCTGGAGGAGTCAGCAGCATTTCATGCTGACAGAGGCTTTTTTATTCTTTTGCCCAATTAGAGGTTTAATGTGGTGGGTAAACCCCTGCCCCCAGAGCCCTGAGAGATGCTGCACAGAAAAGAGGCATTTTGCTGCCAGATAGCATCTACATCCTCTGTATCCAGTTGTATGCAATTTGGATGCCATCCACAGAGAAGTCATGTCTCTGTGCCTCAGTTTCCCTCCTAGTGAAATGGAGCAGTTCAGACAAAGGTCTATCAAAAGAGCCTTGTAAAGTGCTGGGCTCACACTTTGGCTGATAGAGAGCTCAGGCTGTGCCCTCCCTCTCCTCAGCTCTGCCCTGCTGTGCTTTGTGTGAGCCTCCAGCACCATCAGCGGAGCTGTGCCCTCCTCTGTTCCCCCCGATGACTGTTGTGTTGCCTCACAGTTGGTGACTATGTCAAAGCCCTGGAGTGTGCCAAGTCCTACCTCCTCTTCCACCCGGATGATGAAGATGTCTTGGAGAACGCAGGTTACTACGAGGGTCTTTTGGAAGGTACAATGGATCCAAACACCATCAAACCCAGAAAGGTGAGTGTGGGTGTCACCTAAAAGCTCTTGGTGGGAAGCTTAAGCAAAAAAATTAGCTGGAAATAAAAGCACCTTGGTCTTGGGACCACTTTGAAGGCAGACATGGAGATGCTGGACTAACTGGTGATGCTAATTTCCAGGGTGCAAGTCCAGAGTCACTAGTGTTGGGGCGAAGCTGAAGGGCAGGATCTCTTTAAATGGGGACTTCAGCTTAGCAAAGCCCAAGCCAGGGCTGGGAGGGTGATGACCGAGTGCCTCAACAACATAAACCCTCCGCTCGTTCAGTGCTCTAGAGATGAGGAGGAGGAATGCAATGAAGTGCTGAGCAGAGGGCAACCGCCGTTAAGCGGGGGCTGAGAAATACTTTCCCAAGGGGAGGTTGGGATGTCAGCGTTTCTCTCAAGTCACTGAGCTTGGAGTTCAGCGCTCAGCCTGTTCTGCGGGACGTCGTTTTGCTGTCACAGGGTTAGGCTAGGGTCAAACAACCAAAGAGTGTATGCTCAGCCCGGCGGGACAGGCTTCCTCTCCGGCCCGGGCAGTCTTTATCTGCGTTCCTGGGGCTGCCTTTCTCATGATGCAGAACAGGAGAAGTTCATCCCGTCCCACCACAGCGCTGCTCAGGCTCATTACCCTTGCACCATAAGCAGAGTGTAGGCAGGAGTTCCATTCTCTTGGGAAGTCCTTGATTTCTGGGAAAATCAAGGTGAGTTTGATAAAACTCTATATACTAAAAAGGAAATTATAGAAGACAATTATCTTTTCCCCTTGAAGCGTCAATCTAGAAAAAAACCTGAAGTTAACAAAAACATTTCATTGTTCCAATGTTTTGAAGTTTTCTATTAGAAAGAAATAATTGGTTTTTACTTTGGAAAGTAATTTTCTAGGAGAAAAAACAGTGGTTTATTTACAATTTCTTCATTCAAAAAAAAAGCTGTCTGATGAATGATTTCCAGCTGGCTGTGCTTTATGGTCCCCATCTGAGTGCCCTGAGTGCATCCCAGGCCATGATGCTGCAGCTTACCCACTCGCCTACCTGCTGCCAGGCTATGTATGGGCTCTGCCTTGCAGATGGGGAAACCGAGGCACAGCCCAGCCAGGGGCTCTGCTACCCTAGCCTGAACCTGCCTTCCCTTCTGCAGCTGGGGTTTCTCTGGCCAGCCTCTTGCCCAGATATTTAGAGACTTTACAAGGTGCTCAGTGCTTTCTACCAGCTCTGGACATGAGCAGCTCAGCCCAGTGTCCATGGTTGCTCCAAGGCATGACCCAAATATCCCTCATCCCATACAAGTCTATGTTGTTGCGTGAAAAGCAAACTCCTCTTGAAGCAGAGGTGCCTTGCCTATGTCTTGTGAAAGGTACATGTGCAACTACAACATTTTTCCTCTTCTTTTCAGGAAGCAAAAATGCTTCTGCGGCGCCATAAGGTGGAGTCTCACCTCTTGCGGGTGGCTGCGGCCGGCCTCGGATACAGCTACACAGAGCCGGTAATGCCTGGGTCTGCTATGGCGAGGACCTTTAGGAGCTCACAGCTATAGGACCAGCTTCCCTCCTGCCCTCTCCTGTAAAGCAAGTCCCATGTAGGTGACTCAGGAGCTGGGGCTTGGCCTGGTTTTTTCCCTGTTGGAAAATGCTGATGGCAAAGCAAGGAAGGCAGCTGTTCCCAGCGTGAAGGAGTAGCAGGTGCAGACTAGTCCAGCTCTTCTGCCATGGTATCTTCTGCCATGGTTGTGTTCCATGGTGGTGGGGTGGGACAGAGAAGGCTGGGCAAGTCAGGCTTCCTCTGTGCTCATCAGTTTGGGTTGGGGGTTACATTTTCAATCTGGTGACCCCAGGCAATTCCCCAAAGTTGAGTAAGATGGCTCCGTACAGGAAAGGCTGGCTGATGTGCCTGGGTGTGAGGCAGAGCAGAGAGCTCCCTGGCTTCATCTGGAACATTAAATTGAGAAGTATATCCCTCTCTTTTCCCACAGAACTACTGGAACAGGTACGGCGCCCGCCAGGACGAGCACAGGTAAGCCACTACTCACCCACCCCAGCTGACCCCACAGCTTCACCAGTCCCTGCAGTGGGGTGGCGGGGATGTGCCCACAATGGGGTACCAGCTTGCCACTTGGGGGGTGCTACTCACCCACCCCAGAACAGCGTTGTGGCTGAATTAGGGCCATTTTCCCTGTACCATTGCAAACACTCCCACAAGCACCTTATTTTAGCTGAGTCCCTCAAAACCAATGATGGTCTAGAGGGAACTTGGTCGATGAAGGAAGTGCTGCTCAGGTGTGTTGGTGTCTGTGCTTCACTGGTGGAAACTGTTGTTCTCATTGCCAGAAAAAACACAGTTTGCCACAGGACAGGTTGAGGGCTTCTATTTGTATGATTGTAGCATTTGTACAAAGTACCGATTTGCCCATTTCTTTGATGTATTGGTTTTCAAAGGATGTAAAACAGCACAATTCCCAGAACAGGAGACCTGTGCATAAAGTCATGATGTTCCTTTATGCTCTTGCTCCTCAGTGTGCCATCAAGTATTAGCAGTGAACCAGAGGATGGGCCCCGACTGTCCCTGGTAAAGAAACCCATGCCAAAACCAGATCGAGAATTGAAGGAAGGTAAGTCTGATGAATGTATTTCAACAAACTCAGGTTTTTTTCCTATTGCTAGAAACTGTGAAGACTGGCTGCTGAGCAAGGAGGACCAATCCTATCTGAGGGAGTAGGTTTTAAGAGACAGAGAAGTCTTCAGTGCTGCCACAGCATTTCTGGGTCCGTGGATCCCACCAGCACTGCTCTACTCTTGGACTGGCTTTTCCCAGCTGCTGTGCTGCTCAGTACAGAGCCCTGAGATGTAGAGCTGGGTGGCTGGGTTCTCCTCACCATGCTGAAGGTCGCACCAGCAAACCGTAGTCTTTCTCCCAGGTGCTTTTCAGCTTTATATATTCTCTGTTATTAAGGCTGCAGAAGGATGGATGCTTGATGCAGTAGGTTTTGGGGATGCCAGTCTTGATGCTTTGCTAAAATGTGCTGGATCACACCATATTAACAACTATTTCTGTTTGCACACTGGCTTGTGATTTCATGTCTTGGCTTACGTCAAATCACTTCGGTTTAAGGCCTGTCAGCAGACATTTCAGCTGGTTTCAGCACATTTTCAGCAACCACAGAAAATACCGTAACAGCTTCTACTAAAGATTTTCTCCATAACAATTTTGAAAAACTATATTGCAGCCGAATACCAAAGTGTGCTCCTCATGGCAAAACAAAGCCAGGAGGTGTCTTGTGTCTCTGGTGGCCAGCTCTGCAGCAGCAGGCAATTCAGCTTCCCTGTAATCCGATAGATGGTTGCACTTTTTAGGGAATTTCACAGCTTTCCACGGTCCAAGTTGTTTCCAGTTGCTCAGCGTCGTGCTCAGAGTATTGTTATTCCTTCTCTAGCTGTACATAAAATAGGGAAATACCAGAGGAAGATCTTGAAGAGTTTGCTTAAACCAAGAACTGGTTGATTTATATTTGTTGTCCTGTTTGCTCTCTATAACCAAATAATTTCAGAGTATATCTTTCTGTTTTTTCTTCTCTCTATGCTTTTATTCTGCTTTAGTTGGAGAATGTTTTCAAGTTTACAAAGAAAACTGAAACCATTCAGAAAGGAAATTGGATTTTTGAACATCCAGCTGTTTCCTTTCTCTGTTGTCTTTTCTCCTTTCTCTCTTTCCACTTGGAAAAAGAAGAGAAAAACCCAGAAGAGAAAAAAAAAAGTCCATTTTAATTTTGTACTCCTCTTCTGTACTTCTTCCTCCTTTCCTCCTTTCTGCCAACTTTTTTACTCCCCAAAGTCCAAAGAATTCCCCAGCTCTTTGGGGTGTTTTCTATAGAGCGTACACAGGGGAAACAGGTCTCTCTCTCCGTTGGTGCTTAAGGGTGGCGGGGGGCGAGGAGGGCAGCCAGGACATGCTGCCAGTGTGGGACAAGGGTTCAGTGTTCGTGGCACAAGGCAGCCCTCCCTAGTTCCCCAGGAGGAACAGAAGAACCTGGTGAAGCAGTGAGTGGTGCCCTCCAGCTTCAGCCCTCGTGTGCCTACAGCTGGGGAAGAGCAACATCTGGGCTGGAGGACTCAGCCCTGAGCCTGGAGCATGCCAGGAGTTTGCATTTCAGGGTCCTGTCTCTGATCCAGCTGCATTTATAATAAACACTGTTATCGAGCAACAAGAACAACAAAGTGAACATGAGGAACGTACCAACTTTTCTGTTTCCCAGAAACCTAGCTCTTCAGAAGTAAAGTCGTAGACTAGTGGCTGGGCTTTGCCCTCAGGGTTATGTGCCCTCCATAGGCCAAGAAGACCTTCCAAAAACACACAGTGTGCCTCAACAAACAGGAAAAGTAATAATTGTAAAAACAGTGTAACAGAGGATTTTCCTTGTGCCACGTGGTGAGAGGAGCTCTGTGGCTCTGTTTCCTCTGTTTACTTGTGCCTCTGTGACATGGGTCAGTCTTCCCCATATTTCAGATGCGTTTCAGCTTCCTCCTGGAGAATGATTTGGTTTAGGTTTTTATTGTTGCCGTTTTTTCCATTCTCTCTCTGCAAGGAGATCAGGGGAAGAGGCTTTAGAAAATGGTTATTCAGTGGCCTTGCCATGTTGGGTTTTTTTTATCTGTCAGCTTTGATGGGGATGGATGTAAACATTTTCCAAAGACCTAATCTCTGTCTTCTCCTTGCCTGTTCACTCAGCATGTGGCAGTCACCCCGTACCAGGAGAGAGCCCGGTGCAAGCCCAGCCATGGTAGTATTCCCATCCCAGGGATGCTACCCGAGACCTGCAAAATGCAGCCAAGCCAAGGCAGAGGGAGGCAGCTCAGAGGCAGGGAGTAAGGGGTGGCAGGGATGGCCATGGAAGCTCTTTTGCATCTGTGGAGGAGAATTGTCCTCAGAGCCCTCCGACTCACCCACTCCCAGCACCCCTTCTTGGTGGAGAACAAGCTTGCTGCGAGCTCAGCACTGTGTTGTGTTTCCTATGTGGCAACAGAAGCCACTGATGACAATTGCAGAGTAGCTTCACATGCCAAGCTGGCAAGATCCACACAGTGCAAATGCAGTGGAAACTTATGGCCCTGGTTGATGTTGGCTGCTGGGCAAGAGAGCCAAGTAAGCCAGTGTCCGTGCCTCTCATCATGTTATATCGTGCTTTTGTGTTTTAAGACTGTGGTCTCTGCCTTTGCAAGGCAGCTAATGAGAAGGTGGAAAATGATGATGCTCTTGCAGCAAATTGATTTAATCTCCAGGTGTTTCCATTGCTCCTGTTTCT